GTGCTGGAGTGTGTTTCATAGCAACACACAAACACGTCAGGAAGAGGAGGAGGAACTCTTCCAAAGGCATTCGCCTTCTTTTAATACTACCTAGGCCGGTTATCAGTCTGCACTTACAGACGTTATGGGAGCATCACACAAACACAGATACCTGCTGATTAGAGTTCAGTCACATCCAGGATAAATCCCAGAATTTCACTCAGCAAAGCTGGAACTCAGACTTCTCAGTGTGTTAATACAGTAACCTCACTCCAGACATATTAATGGACAGATAATGTCATTAAAATGCTCCAACAGCACAAACATGGTCGGGAGGTCCAGTTCAGGTGAAGCTAGCAGACAGCTAGCAGTCGGTTACTTACTAAGTTGAAACGTCGCCAAGACAAAGCACTGAATCGGTAAAGTAAAAAAGACAAAGACAGGTGTCACAGTGGTTAGCACTGTCGCCTCACAGCTGTGCAGCATTTACGTGTTCTCCCCATGTCTGTGGATTCTCTCCGACTTGGGCCAAAGATGGGTTAATAAGGTAATTGGTGATTTTTAAATTGGCTGTAGGCGTGAATGGTTGCCTTTAGCCTTGCGATTGAATACCAACCTGTCCAGGTGTACCCTGCCTCTCGTCCTGTAACAGCTAAGCGGCAGCACTTCTCTTCCGTTTTTAGATCTTCTGTTTTATCACGCTCAGATAAATATTCCTAACTCTCAAATACAGCTGCGATGTCAAGAAACCTCACATAAGGTTAAACCTCTGTAAACCACCCCTCTGAAGTAATGCATCATAAACAGCATTTTTTCTTTGGGCCTCAGCTATCAGACCTTTTAGAACCTTTATGATCTTTATAACTTACAGAGCAAATGTAGGGAGTTTTTCCTTCCCACTGTTACTAAGTGTTTGCTCATATGGGGTGTTTCTCTGTGTTATTGTAGGGTCTTTACCTATATTAAACACTTTGAGGCGACTGAGGTTGTGATTTTGTGCTATAGAACTAAAATTTAATTGAAGCTCAGCTTTTAGAAATGTTCTGGTAATCAAATCGAAGACCTTAAACACAGTATGGAGTCCCACAGGGCTCTATTAGTGTGCCCCTGCAGTTTAAAATATAGTATCAGAGCACTGCTATAAATTTGACAGCTGGCTTTAGATGTAAACATCTGGAACAGATCCGGTCGTTCCACTTTTGCTGCTGCTTTACACAGCAACAAACTGCCATCGTAGCTCTGAGACCATCTTTAGGTGTTAGACTGGTCCAGTGTCAGAGTTTTGAAGTTGTGTGACCGTGTCGTTTGTTTACTTTCAGTTTTCGCCCTCGTGCTGCTGCCTGGTCTTCAGCCTTCTGCAGCAGAGTCTCCATCAAGTCTAACCTGTAACTCCACGCGGCTCCCTAATGGGTCGGTCCTGTTCCAGCTGCCACACGGGCCCAGTTCATCCAGCTGCAGAACCTGCTGGGAGGATCAGAACGTGAGTCCACCACACTCAACATGATGCCATTGCTGTTACTGCTGCACACATGGTCTCAGAATTAGATCAGCAAATCACAAGCAATTACACATTTCACTTTCACAACCTGCTCCTATTGATCAACACCACGATTACATCATAGATTTTGTTCTTATAACTTCCTTGTTTGGAGAACTCTGAGCTCTCCTGGTCCTTTGGTGTGTCAGCAGAGAAAAGGCATAAACACTCTTTTATGACAGAACTATGTCACTGGCTTTTACACTTCAAACATTGGGCGGGTCATTGGACTGGCTGTGCACCTCAGAGAAATCCATAAACAGACAGGGAATGTAAACCCGAGTGATCACAGGTGCTCAAGGTGACTCGGCTGCTAGGTGACTAGCAGCAGTGAGGGGCGGGGCTCACATAGCACAGGTGAAAAACAAATGAATTGATAAAGGCTAAGAGAAGAACAGCCTGTTTGCTCCTAGAGGACACATCTTCAGGTACATTCAGGCTCGATGTTATGTCTGTAGCTCGTTTTCAGAATGCTCACTGAGTTTGAGGTGCTTCTGAGGCTTGAGCAGGACGAAGTCTCAAAGAGATACGGTCCAGTGCAATGTCAGATCCTGCCATACATAAATACCTGAATGGGTATCACATCTAGTCCTTCCAGTTATACTTCCTAATGCCTCGGCTGCCATGTTTTGGGTGTGGCCTTCCTCAATTGCTTAAGTGTTTCTTTTGATTCTCAGACAAAGCAAATATCAGCTGGCTGAGTGAAAAGTTGATTTTAGTGATCATGAAACAGATCTTCACATCAGGGGAGAAACAGTAGCTGCTGCCAGTGATGCTGTGAGCCAGCAGGAAGCTCTGAGGTGGAGGTTTGTGGTGTTTTCACAGAATCAGGTGTCTTTGAAACCAGTTTTCTTTGATCTGAACCTGGTTAAATGAGTCAGCCTATGCTGTGAGGTTGTATCTGTGGCAGTAAATCCGTCACGTTTGTGTCATTTAAGGCAGACTGAAGCTGATCAGGAAACCAGATTCATGCTGTGTTTGTGTGATGCAGACAAGTAAGAGATACTCTGCAGGCAGAAGGACTGAAGTCAGACTCTGGGACTTTCTCTGGGAATTGCTGATCGAATGCCAAACGCCTGTTTGTGAACACACACAGATTATCAGGCATGTTTGAGAATTTCTGACAGAGGCTGAGGGTGAGGTAATCAGACAGGAAGCAGGTTTGACTGCTGTATTACATCATAAATCATCAAAGCGACTTTCACAAGCTGTGGCGCAATGCGCTGTAGGGAAAAAGGAGTCAACCGGCTCAGTCAAAAGACGGGTTAATGGGTTAGTTTAACTGCCGATTATCAATTGGCTGTAGGTGTGAACCCATTCAATCTCACTGAACGCTTGTGGGATCAGCCTTTTGTGCCAGAGTGGCCAACACAACCACACTGGCTGACAAACGCTCGTTGATGAATGGGATCCATCCCACAGCAGTGTGTGACCAGACCACTGACCTGCCTGAGGAAAAGGTGCCAGGTGCCAACAAGCATTGTTATAGCAAAAATAATCAACCAAGCACAAACCTCTTTACTTTTGGTGCCCTTATATACAGAGAGTTGTAGATTTTTTTTTTTTTTATTTCTCATCTATTGCTTATTTTCTCTATTGTGGCATCTATTTTGTGTTTCATCCATAAATCTATTCTGTATTTTTTGGAAACTTCTTGACCTTCCCCTTGGATGCTAGGACTCGGTGAATCTACGTATAAAGTCGGTGAACAGAGTTTTAAAAAGGGAACAATAGCAGGAGGACTTTCCCCAGATTTCCACTGGACTTTCCCCGTGAGGTGAAGCGAAAGAAGCAGAGCAGAAGAATTTGTTTGTTTTCTTGGTCTGCAGCTTTGATGTAACTCAGTCACAAAGTTATTAACATTCTTTGCTTTATTAACCTCTCAGCGAAAGCTCGTGTGGTTGTAAAGTTGTGGCTGACGGCATTGCATAGAGTTTGTGTGTGTGTGTGCGTGTGCGTGTGTGTGTGTGTGTGTGTGGATGTGCGTGTCTTTGCTCTTTTGTTTTTCGTTTCATTTCTCGTCGTTCTGTGAAACCTGAAACTCGGAGGGTTCAGGCAAATGTTACACAGCAGTAAAGTAACGTTTTCACTTTTTAAACTCGATTATGGAAACAACACAGTTACAATAACAACATTTAGTGGCAACAGCGTGAAAAATGAAACAAAAAGTAAACCTCGCCGTGGAAGATGTGGAATCATTTGTCACCTCCAGTCAGTAATGTTTAGTCTGTGAACTCTTCACTCAAAAACACAGAATGACCCACTGGACCATACTGGGGCGAACTAATAGCTTTGGGATGTTTAATAATCAGATTATCGATCTGCTGCATTCAGGTCCTAACACTGAGTGCTTACAGTCCAGCTGAAGATCTTCTTATTGCCTTTAACTGTGTTTGTAACATCAGCCTGTGTCTCTGTTCAAACCAAATGCACTTTCTAAATCCCAGAGCAACAAAATCTGACCTGTTGCTGGTGCTAGATGAAAGTTGAGAGAGTCTACCTCTGTGTTCTGCTGATCAATCATTTCAACCTTGATTAGCTGCTGAAGAATTACAATAACCCCCTCCGTGAATCGCCACCTTATCGTGGTGGAGGGGTTTGTGTGCCCGTGTGATCCCAGGAGCTATGTTGTCGGGGGCATTTAGCCCCTGTTAGGGTCTCCCAAGGCAAATTGGTCCTGGGTGAGGGGCCAGACGAAGAGCGATTCTGAGACAGTTAGGGAAAGGTCAAGAATGGATGTTACTTCAGTCGGCCAGCTAGGGTGGTTTAGTGTCCAGGACATCTCCTGGCTGGGGATTATGTCTGCCGGATGGTGTGGGAATGCGTTGATGTTTTCAGAGGTTGCTGAGAAAGGGAGGTCTGAGAGTCTCTGTTAGACTGCTGCCTCCGTTACCTGCGTAAGCAGCAGTGGAAGGATGGACGGTAATAATCAAGTATTTTGTTTCTTTTGCAGAAAACCGTCATGGCACGAGGCTCACGCTTTTATGAAGCCTTCGTCCACAGTCTGACGGACGACTCCATTATCCTGGCTGACTGTCGTCCCCTGCGCTACATCCTGGAGTGCTCTGGGGTAAAAACAAGCTTCTTGCTCAGATTCAGACCTTTTTTTCTGTGGTTTTATTACAAAAAGACTAAAAACCTTCCACTGCTGAGCTCAGAGCTGAACTATCAGTGTGCATAGTTTAACGGTGATATTTTAACTTTAGAGAAACGGAGTTCATCATTTCAAAACACAGATTTATATTTCAGTGCGTGCAGCTGATTTCCCTGAACACTTCTGTGTCACTGACTGAAAAACAAACTGTCCATCTCTGTATCTGATCCATTTTTTGTTTGTTTATTTGTTTAACTTATGACAGGAAATTTAAACATGTTATTTTTGAGATTATGGAGCTGTTAAAAGCAAAAAAGGAGCAGAAGAACGTGAGGAAATGGGGCGGGGTTACACATTGATTAACAGGTTGCAAATGTGAGCATACTGTTTCTTCAGTTTCTCAGTCAGAGAAGATATTAGCAGAAAAATCAGATCATCTCCACAGTTTGACAGAGCGACTGTTTCCTGTTCTTTGTATGCTCTCAGAAAACTATTTTTAGCTCTGACCTCAACTTTTTTTCCCCTCAGATGCTGCAGGAGATCGACTGCGCAGGTGAGAGCTCTAAAGAATAATTAATAATTAATTTATAGAGGTGTTCCCACACTCAGCTTAAAAGTTTTTTTTGTTTTTTGTTTGTTCGTTTTTTCCGGCAGACAGGAAATGCTTTCCATCATCCGCTGTATCATTCACAACATTTCTTTTTCTCTTCTAGTGAACTGCAGTTCTCACCTGGACCCTGCTTCACCTTCCCGTAAGTCGCATGTTTCCTGAACAGGTTGGGGTGTTCAAGTCTCCTCACTCTGCTCTGACATGAACTGCAGCCTCGCAGAGTGTCAGTAAACGCCACACCGCCTCAGCTCAGAGGAACACCTGGAGACTGTTTCTTTAAAGTAATAGATTACTTCACATATGTACTCCCTGTAGAATCTAACTGGTTATTTTGCATTAATAACAGTTTACTGTCAATTTAACATCGAAGACTAAACTGTTCATATCTGAGGAGAGCAGACAGGAGAAGCCACAGATATCAAACTTCTGCACTTTCCTTCACTCAGTTTAAATCGATGATCTTAAAAACTTTTTCCTGACGGTTTGTGCCGCCCGTTCACCTTCAGCTGTGCCACATGACTTTGGTTTAGGAGCACAGGCACATGCAGCGTCCACATACAGGACATCTTTCCTGGGCAGGTTGTTTAAGTCTTAGTAAAAAGCTAACAGCAGAGCAGGCTGAGGGTTATATCTCAGCATCCCTGGGTCCTTTCATACATAAGCTCCTCCTAGCAGAGCTGAATGAAAACAGGTCCAGACTGTTCTCTACGTTCTGTTTAATCGCTAATTCTTGACAGCCCACCTTCAATTAAATTTGCCTCATTAACAAACACTAAACAAATTCTTCTTGTCCTTCCTACGGCCTCATCAGAGCGCTCTGCTTTCAGCACACGCTCATTTGAAATATTTTTCACCTCTATGGACTCTGCGGCGCTCTGTAGAAACGGAAGTAAGACTTTAAAAAAAGTCTGTTTCTGTCAGGGAGTCAGATCAGCACCTCAACATCTGGACCACACTATCACCATCCAGCAGGATGTTTCCATTCGAGCTGTGAAAATAATAATGATACTGAGAATGCCCTCGTGTTTTTGTCTCCTCAGCAAACTCCACCCACCCAGACAAGCCGGAGTGGATAACCGGAGCCATCGCTGTTAGCCTTCTGTCGTCTGGCATCATCGTCATTGTCATGCTTTGGCGCTTCTATAAGAAAAAACGTTCTGTGACGACCCCAACTGCTCAGTACACTGCAGCTCAAACTGTTTAAACACTGCAAACAAACCCATTGCACGGCTCCATCATCAACAATAATAATAATGATAATAATAATGATGATAATAATAATGATAATAATAATTATAATAATTGACTGTTAAATAAACATTCAGTGTATTATTAGATATTCTCTTTAAATATATATATGTTTAAAATGATGATGGAGCCAGATGTAAAGATAAACGTTTTGTTTTAGTCCAGGAGCCCCAAACAGATCCAGCTGTTTAAAAAAACAAAAAAACAAAACACTTTTTTTTGCTTTTTAGCAATAAGTTCGTAGATTTCGTAGATTCAGTCGGACCAGAGGTCAGGGTACCCTCAGGATAGACAGAGCTTCTAAACAGGGAACGATCACAGATGAATCTGAGCGAGCAGCCAGCTGTGACTTCACTTCCTGTCCATCAAAGCAGCGTCGACATCCCCGTGTTAATCAGAGAGAGGCTGTTAACCCTGTAAAGCCTGGATCATGAAATAATTACTCCAAACATTCACATTTTTTAATCTTCAATTAAACCTGACAGACTTGTTTGTATTTAATATCAGTTTGTTTATGATTTTTACTTTATAAGCAACTGCACAAAAATGTTACAAACTTATTGTTCAGTTTATTACGGTTACACAGGAAAAAAAATCACGCTGATAAATGTAGAGGCCTCAAAGTCATGTTTCACGTGATACATTTGGCATTACAGGGTTAACCGCTTCTTCAGTTCCTCACAGGTCATCCAAACCCCACCCCCACCTCAATCACCCACCTGCTGCACCAGCAGATGTTCCCGCCTTGAGCAGTTCTTATAGAAACGTTACAGGAACTGGCCATGAATTCATTTTAATGCCGTCAGTTTAGAAATTAATTTCTCACTGAAAATTTCTGTATATCCTGCCCGCACCAGTTTTACTGCCGATCCAAACACACACGACAGTGGACTCTTCCTTTGTTTATCCAGTGTTTGGGGTTAAAGGTGACCTTCAGGTCCCGATAGTTTATGTTCACGTGTTAAAACGAGCCTGGAGATCCAGTCTGAGGTTCTGCAGAGAGATGGTTTTCTTGGTGAAACAGATCCTGGAGCAGCTTCAGGTCTGGGTCTTCAGGTTACAACGTAAAGCTGCGTGTCTGTAAGCTCTGTAGCCCAGTGGGCCATATGTGACGCGTTTACTCACCATGTGCAGCATCATGTTACTCATGATGAATTCATTTATACTTGGATGTTCACGCTGTCAGTCCCACTGCGTCCAAACCATCACCATCATCCCAACTTCACAGTATAATTGTGCTGATGCACACCGCAGGTGCAGGTGCCCCGTGATTATGTTCACGGCACAGCTCACACCTGATGATCCAGACTGACATCTCCTCATGAAGCTTCTAGTTCGTAGATGTCGTCTGAAAAAAGAAGCGGGTGTTACGACCGGCGTTTTTTCCGTCCAGTCTTACTCATCCTGGTATATGGACCTCCGTGTGTTATTCACCTGACGTTCGTAACCACATTCAGTGCCCCGACACACCAAGCTGACCTCAAACGACCCTGAAACCCACGCTGCCCACATCAGAGAAAAAAGCTTCATGGAGAATCTGGCCTCTGCTTAAATCCCACATGAATGTCGCAGGAGCTCTGCAATGTTCATGAAATCACTCTTTAGTTTCCTTTAAGATCCGATCCTCTGGACGTCCAGGTGGAACAGAGCTCGGCTTGGTGCATCGGGGCTTTTGGCTCCTGGAGCCAACAACAGGCTTCGAATGCCGAATCCTACTAAACGTTATAAACCCGACAGTCTGTTACATATCTCCGCGTAGGATGCAGAGCCATGGTTTATAAACGAGGAAGCGCGATGAAGCAGATACTTCTGAAAATAAATAGAAGTATCACATAAAGTTTTCAAGTCAGCAGCACTTGCACACAAGCTGTGTTTCAGCTGCTCTGACTGGTCTTCCGCTGTGGAAGTTGGGAGATTTTAATCATATATATTACTATAATATAATAAATATATATGTATATATGAGCTGATGGTTTTCATATTGCACACACAGACATGCAGTTTGTCTGGTTTTCTGTGTCAGGGCTCCTGGACTTAGATTCTTATATTGTATAAACATTGATGTAAATATCAGGCCAGCTTGTGTAAACATGGTTTGATTTCCTCTTTTAAATTCATCTGCTCTTTGCTTTTTCTGTGGTTTGTTGTCATAGGTATGTTATGTTGTCCCTTCTTTGACAGTAACCGCGAGAACCTGCAGGGTTTCTCTCGTTTAAAGCTGCAATGATTGCTTTAACCTCGAGGTGACGGTTGTTGTGATTTGGCGCTATATAAGTAGAATAGGATTGAATTTATCAGCCTCTGCGATGTGATTGGTGGATAAAGGTTTTTGTCTGGTCTGATGTTCATTTTCTCCCATGTTTTAATAAAGAAAAGCATCAAAATTGGTCTTTAAATTTGAAGTCGGGCAGTGAATGTCTGCAGAACCGAAACTAGGAGCTAAAAGAGGCTGAAAGGCTTGAGTGATTAGTGCAGCTATAAACACTGAAGAGAAACTCGTCTGCTTTTCGAAAATTGTTTTGTTTTTAATCAGGCTGTTTCTCTAATGCAGTGAATTATCACGTAAAGCTTAGAATCTAATCGTATTCTGATCATCTGGGCTACAAAAATACATTTTTAATGAAAGATGATTGTATTGATCTGTAAATCGGTGAGGGGTTATTGATTATAGCATATTGTAGCTTTATGGTTATCTCTGTGCTTTAATAAACTCTTTGAAAATGATTCCCCGGTGTCTGTCTGATGTTTACATTCTTCTCTGTGATGAAAGCTTTAGTGTTTTATGAGTTTCCTTCTCACATGTGTTTAAATGTCTTCAGTCAGGGAAAAAAAGGTAATCCCGCTGAATATGAACAGGAAGTATCGGCATCACGAATGTCGAGTATGTGGCACACACTTTAAATAATGAAAGTTAGAATAAAAAGGTCGGGTAAGGTCAGCAGTGAGAGGCTGGAGAGCCTGAGGAGCTGTACATGATTTAAAAAAAAAAAAAAAAAACCCAAAACTCCTTCTCCATCTTCAAGAAAAGGAAAAAAGCCAAATTTAATCTCTTCCAAAAAAAAAAAAAAAAAAAATCAATAACAATGCAGCTCATTATCAAGCAGGTAAAGTTTGGAGTCGAAAATAAAGAGCTGAGCTTCAGACAGGTTTCTTTTTCTCTGTGCTGCAGCTGCTCTAACACAGACTGTTCAATAAAACAAGTGAACTGGATACATTTATAGCGACAGACACTGTCTGACACATCTGCCATTGACTGAACCACAACAAGAGCCAATATCTGCTGCTCCTCCTAACAGTGTGTGTGTGTGTGAGAGTGATGCAGTGACAGGTGGAGTGCAGTGATTGGCCTCTGTCAGGCTCCTGTGTCTGGATTGGATCTTTAGTTTGAGTCCTGGCTTCAGAGTTTCGGTGAGTTCTTGACAGTGATTCATACACACTGGTCACACACTGAAAAACTGAGAAGCAGTTTCTAGGTTAGGAGCTCATTGAGCTCTGTGCTCACTGCCTGTGCAATAACTTCAGTTCACTTGCGTGGCCACTGATTTGGCCACTTCAAATATCTTTATCAAACAGCAATGTTATGTTTGTTGCAATTTCTGCTGCTCTGTTGGCTACATCCTTTATATGAAAAGATTTTTTTTTTTTAATTCAAAGGGTAAAAGTCACTTTTGCCAAAATCTGACAGGACAAGAATGTCATTTCTGCCTCAAAGTGACTTTATAGCCTTCATCACAGATATGTTTGGCAAAGCTTTGGTAGATTATATGCCAACAAGTCATTTACAACACATTTTACAACACTGAGTGAGTAAATTGAGTCACAGCTCCATCTACTGGATATACACTCTAAGCAAGGCTGAAATCACGGGAAAAGCTTTTGAGTGAAATAAAGTTTCCATCAGGTACACTGTCAGGTTCTACAGTGGTTTCTCTGCAGGCATCAGGCAGGTAAGCATTTTCACCTGTTCTGTTTCAAATGTTGGATCATTGCAGATCCTTATAGTTTGTGTCATAATGTAAATGTTTAAAGATCGCACAGATTCATATAAAGACTGAGGCAATGATGTGTAGAAGGAAATAAATGTGCTGAAAAATATAGTTTCTGCGAGGTCAGTTTTGTGGGGTTCTGTGCAGATGCCTGCATTGTTGTAGGTCTGTTGTAACCGCGTGGTCTCGACTGCAGAGGCTGCGCTACAAGGCAGATGCCCTGCAGACGGACTGCAACAGCTCTGCTCTGTGAGTGTTGGGGCAGCACATCTTTCTACTTGTTCTACTTGTTTATTCAGTGAGCTAGTTTCAGTCATTGTGTAGATTGTGTCTCTTTTTCAAATGCCAGCCCCGCCCCCTGCTGCTCCACCTGTTCTTACAGCACTGCACCATCTGCATGTGGTTCCTGCACATGCATGAACCGATCAGATCCCTCAGCTGAAGTTTCTCACAGTGTGACTCTGCAAGTGAAAGGTTTGTGTCTGCCTGCTGCTGCTGAGGATGATGATGCTGAAGATAATGATAATGATGATGATGATGAAGAAGTTGATGATGAAGATGATGATGGAATGAAGATTATGAAAATGATGTAATGATGATGTGATGAAGATGAGTTGATGATGGGATGATGGGATGATGATAAGATGATGATGATGAAGAAGATGAAGACGTTGATGATGAAGATGATGATGGAATGAAGATTATAAAAATGATATGATGATGATGAAGATGATGTGATGATGATGATGATGATGATGATGATGGGATGAAGATGATGAAAATGATGGTGATAAAGATGATGTGATGAAGATGAAGAGGATGAAGAAGATGATCATGTGATGAAGATGATGAAGATGATGTGATGAAGATGATGAGAATGAAGACGGTGATGAAGAGGATGAAGAGGATGATGGTGCAGTAGCTCCAACAGGCTGCTGTCCTCGCGCTCCTTCAGCCTCCTCCGTTGTTATGAGTCATCGCGCGCAGCGTCTGCGGAGCGGCGCGCTGCGATTGGTTGAAGAGGAGCCGCCTGCGCGCGCACGGAGCCGCTCGTTGACCGTGGAAGAGCCGCTGCTGGCGCGTGAGGAGCAGCAGGAGTTGTGTGCAGCATGTCATCCTGCCGCCGTGCGTGAAGCATCTGCGCGCGGACAGATTCAGACTCTTCAGCTCGTTTCACAGCAAACATCCGGTCTGCACGCGCCTCCTCCTCTCCCCAACACAGGAGCCACTGCTGAGAAGACACGGATTTTATCTGCACACCGAGACACCGAGAGAGCGTCCGATCCGCCCAGCAGAGGTGACACACACGGACACACACACACACATACGGACACACACACACTGATCCAGAAACGTCGGTCACACCTGCACCGGTGCGACACCGGGGCTCGTGCATCTCTGTGATTTTCCTCCAGCCTCATCATCATCATCATCATCTTCACATCATCGTTGGTGATCGATGGCTTCGATCCTTCTCTAATCGATGGTTTGTATTTTTCGACGCTGAAGCTTGATGACGTCCATGTGGGATGATGATGATGGTGATGATGAAGTCAGAGGTGCAGCTGGTCTGCGGGGATTCAGGCTGCTCCGTGGCTTCTCCTGCCCGCTGAGGCCCTATTGGAGGGATGGCTGCTCATTCTGATTATCAAACAGCACCTTCATCAACTTCACCTTTCATTTAGCGATAATAAGCGTGCTGATGTTAACCTGGTGATGATCAGATAATCCTCTCTGGTATGATGCTTCTGATCAGGAGAGCAGCACGTGAGCTCAGACCTGTTGGGTGTGATTCTGTGGTCCCTGATTGGTCCCGTGCCTTCACACACGTTTTACATGATACTTCATGAAGTTTAAACCTCTTTTGTTCGTTATACTTTTCAATCGTTTTTATCCAAAGAAGCGAAAACGCGACTATTTCCATTGGCCTCTGCAGCATCTGTGTTAGTCATTGCACTCCATACTGTTGTGACTGTTGTTGTGATTTGGTGCTATAGAAATAAAATTAAATTGAATCATTTTCTTATCCAGCTGAAGAGACTGTCCCAGCTCTCATAGGGTGACAGGCGGGGCACACCTGCACAGGTATCACAAGGTTAACAGAGAGAGAGAGACAACTATTCACACCTACAGCCAGTATAAAATCACTATGGTGATTATTGATTCATTAAACCACCAATTGTTGCTTCTTTAATGTGTTTATGACTTTAATGTTGCACCTTTAATGTGTTAATTAATTTATATTTTAAATCTACAGAAGAAGAAGAAACAAAGTACAACATCCAAAATAATTAAAGTGGCTGAGATCAGAAATACTTCAAGGATAAGTACATTAAGTACATTAGGATTGTATTTAAGTAAAGTACTTGAGTAAATGTTCTCAGTTACATTATCTATAGTATGCTCTCCACTAGTGGTTGTTTTGGGGGTAACAATCATATTGCATTATGACATGCGCTAATGGAAGCGGCACGAGATGGCTCGGGTTCAGCCTCACCTGATGGATATTTCCAGCTCTGGCTGAACCCTCTGCACCTGCAGTTCTTCTCTTCACGCTACACACAGTGCTTCATCATGTTGTGATGTAACTTCCAGACCTTTGACCCCTGAATGGACCAAGCTGTGATGTGTCCTCTCCTGATGGATCTGCTTGATGTTTGCACCCAGAATGTCCTTTTTTATTCAGCTCCTTCAACCACACCTTCAAATCAAACACCTGGAATCATCTGCACATCTTTGACGATTTATTTACGATTTACATTGCACCGCGTCTTTCTGTGGAGGAGCAGGCAGATACTGGATGCCGTGTAGAAAACACCCACAGGCCGTAGAAAAGACTAACGCAGCTTCAGGTGTGAAAAATGAAGCCAGTGTGGAAAATGCCTTAAAGCTGCCTTCTTTTTAATGGCCACCAGGGGGCGAGAGCTGTGGCTGCAAAGAGACTTCGGTCCTATAGAAGTCTATGAGATCTCTGACCTCTGTGTGTTTTATGTGCTCAGCCACTTGTTTTAGGTTGTACTGAATAAAACATGAAATCAGTGTTGGTTATTCTACGTTTCCTTTGTCTGCACGTTATGGACTCACCAGTGAGGCAGTCGCTTGATGTTGTTGGTGGTGAAGCTGACTGGTTACACTAGGTTAAAACGACGCTCACGCCACCATGAAATCTGCTCCTGTAGTCCACGCGTGCACAACACTCTGCATCCCACCTCAGAAACACCACTGAAACCATTAGTGCATCAGACCTGTACGAGGTTCAGGCACCATGAGAGTGAGTTTTAGGCGACCACAGATGTCTGCTGTTCAGGTGTTCTCTTCACTAAATGTTTAATCACCTTCAAAGGATTTTCTTTACCCTTTTTCTATACATTCATGGGTCTAAATAATCAACACATTTTGGAATATTGAGTGAGAACGCTGTAAGCAGACAGATTCTTCCCATCCCAACTGATCCCATCAAAGTAAAAGAGCTTTTATACCACTGACATGCTCAGACTGTTACACAAGCAAATGTAAACTCTGCAATCTCAGGTGAGACTTAAAAGAAGCTCTCAGTCTGGATGAAAAGTCATGTTGCTGATTCTTGTGTTTTTGTCCTTTTCAATTCTTCAGATGGCAAAGGCAGACCAGCGTTTCGGCCAGCGGGATGGCTCTGACCAGAACTTCGACTACATGTTCAAGCTGCTGATCATTGGCAACAGCAGCGTGGGGAAGACGTCCTTCCTGTTCCGCTACGCCGACGACTCCTTCAGCAACTCCTTCGTCAGCACCGTGGGCATTGACTTCAAAGTGAAAACGGTGTATCGCAACGACAAGAGGATCAAGCTGCAGATCTGGGTGAGGACGGTTTGCTTGTCTGAGATGCCGGAGACGGACTTGCTTGTGGAAACAGATGCTGATGTCACAAATTATGCATATGGTGTCTTGTTGCATCGATGTCTTCACTCTCTGCCTCTGTGATATTCTTTTTTTTTAGCTATAACGTAAAAAATAATAGAAAGAAGTTGGAAGGCTGGTGGTTAGATGTTAAACCTGGTTCGCTTTGACGTCAGAGGACACCTGCATTGGTGTCAGGCCTCAGAGCCAGCCCCTCTGTTAGGAAGAAGTGGTTTTGCAACCACAAAATGTTTTAGTCATAAAATTAATTATTGATGATCAGATTAACAGTTTAAACTCTGTGTTTGTGTGTCTGTTTTTTTGTGTGGCTTTTTTGTTAGTCAGGGAATGCGGTGGTAGGGTCCATGCAGGTAAGGCTGAGACGGTGAAAGGTGATGCAACATTACCTAGATTCTGTAACAGCCCTTTAAAAAGTTGGTACCAAACAATAACCTCTTTCCCTCATACAGACTCAGGGCTCAACACTGATGGTCATTCAGGGACGTAACACACAGCTGCTTCAGTATCTCAGGATGTTGTTTAAAAGTGATGATAAAAGCATGAGATGGACCAATGGGTCAGACCTCGGACTTAATGCAAGCTTCTTATCGGTGTGTCGTGGTGACGATGAATGCTGAAGGCGGAGCTGGTTTACAGAAAGGTTTAAAGGGGGAATAATGATTTGATCCCAGTTGAAATGAAGAGTCTCTGTTTTTTATGGTAGTTTCATTTTAATGATGAGAGATATATGAGAATATCAACCAAAAATTAAAAAAAACACATTACATAAAAATTATAAACTGACTTGCATGTCTTGTTGCCTTGTTTGCGATCAGAGCAGTAAGATGTTTCTTGTTGTTGGTCATCAGGTTTGCTCACTTCTCAAGTTGCCAACTCAAAGCCTTAGTAACTTCACAGGACTTGCTTCTTCTTTAGCCACTCCTTTGTTGCCTTGGCGATATGTTTTGAGTCATTCTCATGCTGGAAGTTCCATCCTTGACCCATCTTCAGTGATCAGGCTGAGGGAAGGAGGTTCTGGTTCTAGTTTGGCTTCATACATCAGCCCCTCAGTGCGGTGAAATCATCATGTACCCTCAGCAGAAAAACAGCCCAAAGCATAATGTTTCTGCCTCAGTGCCTGACTGTGGGGATGCTATTCTTTGAGTCGTACTCAGCATTTCTCTTCCTCTAACCTCAGCAGGAGCCTGATTTTGGTTTCATCTGACCACAGGTCTGTCTCCCAAGCCTTCTCTCATTCATTTAGGTGTTCACTGTAAACTTAAGATGGGCCTGAACATGAGCCTCCTTGAAGATTCCAATCCATTACAGTGTAACACGATACCATTATCAAGCTCATCCCATGGAGTTCTGGGCTGATCCACCACTTTTCCCATGATTATCCTCATCGCATGAGCAAGATCTCGCATGAAGCTCCAGACTTAGACTGATTGATGGTCACTGAGTTTTTGATTGATTGGTTGATTGTAATCTGTTTGCCACATGGCAAACTGCCAGTCTGTGGGAGGTTCTGGCTGGTTCGCAGAGCATGAAATACTTATTTCCCTCAATGAACATACAGATGTATTTATAACGTTTATGTAATGTCAATTTCTGGATTTTCAAATAATATTCTGTCTCTGTCCATTAAAATGAAACTATCATAAAAAATAGAGACAGTTCATTTATTTGTAAGTGAGCAAACTTACACATTCCTACCCCACATATGACCAAGAGCTGTGGGCATTGATGGCAGAATGAGAATACAGGCAGCAGAAATGAGCTTCCTCTGAAGGTTGTCTGAGCTCACCAAATACAAAGTTAACCTCAGGTTACCCGCTCAGATACAGTCGCTGGAAGAGTGACACATTTTCTCCAAGGTCTCTCCTTTTTTTAGATACATCACTGTGCAAAAGTGAAGATGAACCATAGAGAAAGTCACAGTTTGTGAGCCAATCAGCCCCTCTTACAATGCTGAGCATCTCAGCTGACACAGCACCAAGTGAGCTGTTAACAAGGATGAAAGGTTTTCTAAGAGAGATCCTTCAGCTGAAAATGTTGTTGGGGAAATGGATGTCTGCTCACCTGCAGCCATTGGGGAAGTCTGGAGGTCGGGCCAGCTCCATGGATGCACCATGTTCCTCAACCTGTTCCTGGTGAGGTTTTGTGGTATGGCAGAACACGCTGTCCTGATGGGTCAGGAGGACGCTGACTGAGCGGACCCATTCTAAATACTGGAAATACTCCATGTGGTTTAGATGTTGAGCTGCAGAGCCAAAGTGCTTGAAGATGCACCAATCAGCAGAAATTCGGAAACACCTTAAAGCACTTGCCTGATCGGATCTTATGTGATTTAATTTCCTGTTCAAAGGGAGTTCTTTCTTCCTCCTGTTGCCACTTCCTGCTCACACAGGGGATCGTCTGATTGTTGGTGTTTTCTCTTTATCTTACACTATAAAGCATCATGGGGCAATTGTTGCTGTGAATTGGTGCTGTCGGAATAAAACTGAATTGAACTGGAGCAGTTATTGTGAAGAATTACTGAAATTAACTCTTTTTTTTTTATTTTTGCTTTCATGTCCATAAATAAAAACTGCATGAATAGAATGATCTCACATTAAGTCGAGATCAGACCACAGTTTTCATGCATGCTACGCCAA